CCCGGCCGGGGGAGCCCCACGGCCGCCTACCAGCCGCCTCCTCCTCCCCCCGCCGCGCCTCCGCCTCCTGCCCCCTGCAGCGGGGTTACCTGTCACGGGGAGCCCGCTAAATTTTACGGATACGATAACTTACAGAGACAGCAGATTTTTACGACACAGCAAGAGGCCGAGCTGGTACAATATCCTGACTGTAAATCGTCCAGTGCTAATATTGGCGAGGAACCAGACCACTTAAATCAGAGCTCGTCTCCTGCTCAAATGTTTCCCTGGATGAGACCACAAGGTTGGACGCAGTCAAAAATTTGCTTCCATCTCACGTCTGAGTTTGAAACTTTCTTTTCCTCCTCCCGCTTCCTTCTCGCTGCCTCTCGCTCCCCGCCTCTGCCTCCCTCTCTCCCTCGCCTCTCTCCCCGCGATTCCTATCGGCGCGGCGGCTTGCGAGAATAAAGCGATACCGTAAGCGAACAGAAACCTCTGCGGAAGGCGGCTGCCACCCCAAGAGTAGCCTTGAAGTCGCCTCCCGGGCACCGAGGTGCAGCTGAGACACTCGCCCGGCTCCCGGGAAGGGTGCAGGGCCGGGGGGTGCCGGTTACCGGATAGTGAAGTGACCCCGTAAGCTCGGTCCCGCAAACCCCGGTGCAGGGGGAGAGCGGAGGCGCTGCGTGCATCTGCTATTGCTGTTTTCCCCGCACTCGTGTGTAAAGCTCCAGGCTCCTCCGTGCCCCCCGCTTTCTCTCCCTGCGTTTCCGCGGGGCTCCTCCCGAGGGATTTCCAGAGGGACTCGAGCCCTCGCTCCCTGCCTGAGCCTTGTTTTGAACGACCACACCAACCTCCAAACCCCTGTGTTTTTGTTTTAAACAGCAGCGCCGGGTAGGAGGAGAGGAAGACAAACATACAGCCGATTCCAGACTCTAGAGCTGGAAAAGGAGTTCCTCTTTAACCCCTATCTGACCAGGAAGAGGAGGATCGAGGTGTCCCACGCACTAGGACTCACCGAGAGGCAGGTAAAGATCTGGTTTCAGAACAGGAGGATGAAATGGAAAAAGGAGAACAACAAGGACAAATTCCCCGCTTCCAGACAGGAGGGAAAGGAAGGGGAGGCCAAAAAGGAAGCACATGATCTGGAAGAAGACAGAGCTGAAGGCCAGACGAATTAAATTTTGCCCTAAAAGCCTTTGCGAAAGGCTATAAAAAAACCCCAACCAGCGCCGTAGCCCGACATCTCGGCCCGTCTCCCCCTGTACGTGGGACGAGTGACCCCGTGTCCCTCTGCTAGACGTTTCTCTGCTTCGGGTGCTTCACTTGTTTGTGGTTTTGGTTTGGTTTGGTTTTAGCCGTATCCGGAACAATCTCTAGATTTAACAGTTCATCTGCATCTTTTGGAAATTTGATACAGAGTTTGTAGCAATACATGTCTAATGATATATATAAAATACATATTTTTTTTGCAACCTTAAAAGACGGTGATTGCGGGAAACGACGTAAACTTCCTAATAATAAATACCAATAAGCGAGACATTTAACAATGCTTTATTAATCAAGACAAGTGCACTTGTACTTTTTAAAATTCCTGTTAAGTAAATTAAATAAATTTAATAAATTTGAAGAAAATATCTTAGAAATATATTTAACCTTCTGCTATTGATATTTGATTAAAATAAACCAAATTTATTCAAACGTAAAATGTATCGGCTTCTCGATATCCTGTTGGTAACCCACTCCTCCGGTAACCCTCAGAGCCTCTCCGCGCCCGGACTCTCTCCCTTCCGCGCCTTTTCCCCGCCTTCCTCCGGTGCGGGGTGTTTCTGCGGGCTCCGGGAGCAGC